AGAGTAGGGGTGTAACCCCAGCATCCTGGCCAAATTTCCCCGTGGTCTTTACCAATCATGGCCTCCTAGTAATCCCCATCTATGAACTGGCTTCATTACTCTGTTCTCCTCCCCACTGATAGCTGATGTGTGGGGAGCGTTCTGGCGCACTATGGCTGCCGTCGCATCATCCAGGTGGGGCTGCACATTGGTGGTGGTGGAGGGGAGTCCCCACCTGTAAAGCGCTTTCAGTGGACTGTCCAGAAAAGCGCTATATAAGTGTAAGCAATTATTATTATTATAAAGAAGTACTGTGTGTACTTCATGTATGGTAATCCGGACGATCCAGTCCTCTTTCCATTCTGAGATTGCTGAGTAACTGTCACATAAAACCATGGAGGACAGAGAGCAACAGAGGAAGAGCATTAACTGAAATTACACATTTTAAAAACCTGATGACGTAATAGTAAAAATACTGTTTTGATAGATGAAAGAGAGTCTAAGAACTATTACTCTTTTCTAAAAATGTGGAAAGTGTTTGAAGCAAAATATACAGTTAGTCCCTTGATGGAAGAGAATCAACCACTCTAATTTTTTAAAGCCAGTTTTAGAGCCTAGGAAATTAGAAAACAAACAAAAGATAGGAGGGAATTCAGCCTTATTTTTTGAAGCTGAGAAACATTTTGGTTCCTCTTCTTTGAACTATCTTGGTAGCTTTCATGGTATTTTTGTAACTTTTTCATGATAAAATCAACACAATATTCCAATTCTTTACAAACTTTATTTTTTGCTTTATTTCTATGGATTGTGCTTGGCACTTCATAATCCAGTTTTTACATTTTATAATTTTTTTTACCATTTCCTTGTAAAGACTATGGCAGACGCAACATAAACCCCAAAACACCGTTTGTAGGTTGCTTCAGCAATTTCAGTCCTAAAAATTGTAATGTACATTTCTCTTTTATGTACCTTCAAAATGTGGCTGCAGTTTACAATTCATTAATGTTTTAAAGTATTAGAAAATGATTATCTCAATCAGGCTGAATTTGAGCCCTGAGGGCAGCTTGTAGTGTATGAGCACAGTATCCACACATACAGTACTCCAAAACCACTTAACCAGATCAGGTATGGAAATTGCGTATGTAACTGACAGCTGTGTTATTAACCACCTGAATTAGTCTCTCTTAGTCTTGATGCTCCAAAGGATCATGAGAAGAAATGTGTAATTATAAACTACACACCGAAAGCCCTATTAATCTTGAAAGCAGTCTAATTCCTTAGTTCACCTGTTTGAAGGGCAGATTCCTAGTTACCTTAACCTTACCTCTCTGGTCGATTTGAATGGTCAGCTGCTTTCAAATACCCTGTATCAGTTAGCCATTGCATTATCAGGCTAAGGAAAAGTATTCTGTTCATAGTACTGTATGTAAGGAGAGTTCAACAAAGAGCCATGGAACAACCGGGGACAAAGTTCTCTTGTAAGTAACTAGACAGCAGCAATATTCTAGCATTGTAAGAAAAGTGCCCCACCAAATTATATACGGTAGATTGTTTCTTAACTCTTAAATTGTTTCTACCTAATTCAAGATGACATTAACTAAACCCAAATAAAATATGAGAAACAATATGCATTAACACATTTTCTATTTATTACGGTATCTTGACCCAGATGTTTGAAATTATGAACGCATGCTTGTTGTATGGAAAAAGAAAGCGAAAAGACATCAATCATTTCCTCAGAAATACAGCAGCACAGAGAATTCTGTGTTGCACAGGTGCTGCTCAAGTACCAAAGGCAATTGACTGTCATGGTTAGATCCTAATTTGCTTTTTTTACTTTGGGATGCAGTCACAGCTGAACCATGGGGTCAGAAACTGGAGTGTTGCAAATAGTTCTGTGTTATATATTGTATTGTAGCATGCTGAGGGGTATACTACCTACTCCAATACTGATTACAACTCAGCCTTTTAACATTCTATACTATTTAACCAATACAGGCCAGTTATGAGGGTTCAACGCTGATGGCAAAGACAGGCTACCTCCTGTGTGGCTCCATGCCTAGAAAGATACAGAGGTTGGAGAGCCTCAAGGCATGCTGGGGATTGTTTAGTTATGTTATCTGCAACTACCCACCAAAAGGCAGGCAGTCACTAAGGCAGAACTGGGATGTGGAAAAGCCTGGTGGTAACTACAGTAGCTCACATCAACCCTAATGTTTTAACTGATGGGAACTCCCCATTTGGGACTAGTTTTTCAATTGCAGTAGCTTACTGTGGACATGAATTTCTTTTCAAACAGTCTGGTGTCCTCAAAGCATGATTTCTTTTTAGTTATTTAAAGACATCTTCTTGATTGCCTTGCACATTACATCACTATTTTACTTAAGGATTTTTTACAAATACAGTGCCTTGCGAAAGTATTCGGCCCCCTTGAACTTTTCAACCTTTTGCCACATTTCAGGCTTCAAACATAAAGATATACATTTTTTATTTTATGTGAAGAATCACCAACAAGTGGGACACAATTGTGAAGTGGAACGAAATCTATTGGATTTTTGAAACTTTTTTAACTAATA